TACACGTCCGACGGATTGTGGAAAGGCAAGAAAAAGGCATGAGTTCAAACTATAACGTAAAACATGTTCACTTGATAGAAGTAAGGTTTCCTACATACACGTCCGACGGATTGTGGAAAGGCAAGAAAAAGGCATGAGTTCAAACTATAACGTAAAACATGTTCACTTGATAGAAGTAAGGTTTCCTACATACACGCCCTACGGATTGAGGAAAGTCAAGAAACAGACATGAGTTCAAACTATAACGTAAAACATGTTCACTTGATAGAAGTAAGGTTTCCTACATACACGTCCGACGGATTGTGGAAAGGCAAGAAACAGGCATGAGTTCAAACTATAACGTAAAACATGTTCACTTGATAGAAGTAAGGTTTCCTTCATACACGCCCTACGGATTGAGGAAAGGCAAGAAACAGGCATGAGTTTACTAAATAAAAGTAATGTTTCGCATAGATAAACGTCCTGCAGATTGAGGAAAGACAAGAAGAGGTATGAGTTCACTAAATAGAAATAATGTTTTCTATATGCATATGGACATAAGGTTGAGGAAAAATAAGAAACAGGAATGAGTTTAATAGATAGACGTAAGGTTTCTTATAAATACGTGTCTTGCAGACTGGGGAAAGACAAAAACAGACATGAGTCTACTTAATTGAATAAAGTTTCCTATATACACATATCCCGCAGATTGAGGAAAGGAGAGAATCAGGCACGAGTTCATTAGATAGAAATAAGATTTCACATAGGCACGTGTTCTGCAGATTGAGGAAAGACAAGAACAGACATGAGTTTACTAAATAGAAATAAAGTTTCTTATGTACACATGCCCTGCAGATTGAGGAAAGGAGAGAATCAGGCACGAGCTCATTAGATAGAAATAAGATTTCTCATAGGCACGCGTTCTGCACATCATTAACGAATTATATTGTTGATAACTAATCACACTGCCAGATATTAATATTTTTTGATTTCATGCCAGAAATATAAATTTAACTAAATTTCAGGGAACAGTTAATCGAAATGTATATACATAAGAAAAAAAAAATACTAATACTATTTTTCCTTCCGAAATTTGAAATTTATGCACAAATGCATACTTCAACTTATAAAAATAACTTTTCGAATGGAAAATGGCGCTTAAATATATGAGTAATTAAAAATAAAAGTGAGCAAGAAATGCAAGATTTTAAATAAATATAATATATATATATATATATATATATATATATACACACACACACACACACACACACACACACACACACACACAACAAACACTCGTGTAATAACTTTACGCTGTTATCACAGTTAATCTCTTCTGTAATTGCACCTTTTGTAATTTCTATATCGGGTATAATTTTTTCTTTTTCTTCTTAAAGCGCTAACTTAGAGACTGCGATAACGTAAATTATTAGTTAACGTTATTTTCCTGAAAGCTGAACCAATAACTTGATATGCAAGTGTTACGGAAAGTAAAAGCCAAGAACGTTTCTCGTTTGCAGGTATTTCTGCACTTACTTGTTATATAATACTAGATTGTCAGATCCAAATTATTTATTAGAGAATGTATACAGTATTTTTGATGGAAGCGATAAACAAAGTTAGATATAAGATGCACGTGTCTGTAAATCTCGTTATGTTGTGGCGAGTACAGCTGCTTTTAGAATAGCAATTCTGTTTTAGACTTTAATCGTGCCCAGCCTCGAGTTGTAACCTTTCTTTCCCTACAGTGAACTGTTCTACGAGGAGTTATTTAATATACCAGTCCATAAATAATAATAATAATAATAAACAAAACAGTGGGTTCGCCTGACAAGTTGGCTAGCGTTGATGAGACTTGTATTATTATTATTTTTTGGTTTTTGAGTAACATAGATATACGAGTCAGACCGTTACGAAGAGTTGCGCTTAAAATGAACGTGACCTGTTCGAAATCTTGTTCTTGCTGTTGGTTATAACCAGAGGGTCTAACATTCATTTTAGCTTGATTTAACTAACGTACACGGTGGAATACGTCATTGCAGATCTCCGGCTTCAATAGATTTATTTTATTTTTTAATTTTCTTTTTCAGGTGTGGTTTACTTTGATAAATCGAAAATGACATTGATACGCTATGTTCTCGGGTTTGAAAAGTTGAACACTGCAACAATTGAAGAATTCTCGAGGAGAAACGCACGTTTCTCGAGTTATCAAGTATATTTAAAATATGAGCACATTCTTTTCATGACGGTGAACATCTGTGAAACATACAAGTAGGGAACCAACATTGATTTTTTCTCCCCCCATTGAATCGAAATTTTATGATTCGTTTCGAGTGGTACAGTTTTTCTTTCTTTAATAACGGCGCTTTACAGATCGAAATAATAGCTTTTGTTCTCCTGTATTAACAACCATTATTGTTGTCAAATACAGTTATATTAACTTTCCGGGTTATAGTTTCCAGCGCAGGCGTCAGAACAATCTTATTAATGTTGTCTGTAGCAAGGTTACACGCTTTATTAATCTGAAGCGGATTGTTAGAAAAAACTCGTTAGCTTTATCAGCGTGTTACATAACATATTAATAAAAAAACATCAGTTTTGTTAGTTTGGTCTGTATCAGGTTATCATGAAATTTGTTAATTTGGTCTGTAACCGATTATCACGAAACTCGTTTGTTTTGTTAGTTTGGTCTGTGTCAGATTATCGTGAAATTTGTTAGTTTGATCTGTAACGGATTATCACGAAACTCGTTAGTTTTGTTAGTTTGGTCTGTATCAGATTATCATGAAATTTGTTAGTTTGATCCGTAACGGATTATCACGAAACTCATTTGTTTTGTTAGTTTAGTCTGTGTCAGATTATCATGAAATTTGTAAGTTTGATCTGTAACGGATTATCACGAAACTCGTTAGTTTGGTCTGTATCAGATTATCATGAAATTTATTAGTTTGATCTGTAACGGATTATAACGAAACTCGTTAATTTTGTTAGTTTAGTTTGTATCAAAATATCATGAAATTTGTTAGTTTGGTCTGTAACCGATTATCACGAAGCTAGTTTCATTGGTGGGTGTGGTCTAATGGTTAGCGTTTCGGAATGTGACCTGTTTCCAGGTAGAAAAAAATACACAATCTGCACATTGGAACCGTGTGTGCGTTATAAGAGTCACTGTGAGATCCCACTATTCGATTAGAGTGGCTCAAGAGTTGGCATTGAGCTGTTGACTAGCTGCCATTTTCTGTATTATGGCCTATCTGTTCAAAGGTAGGAACGTCTAACGAAGATAGCCATTATGTATATGGGTTTGCGGGAATATCCGAAACAAACTTACAAGAAACTTGTTCGTGTTTTTCAATGTGGACTGTAACAGCTTAACGTGGCACTTTAAAATTCTTCAGTTGCATGTGTGGCCTATAATAGATTGACACGAAATCCGTTTCAGTGTGTCCATTAGTAGGCTGGAGCGAAATCCATATCAATGTGGACTGTACTAGGCTGCCACAAAACCTGTGTCATTGTCAATAGATTGACACGAAATACGTTTCAGTGTGTCCATTAGTAGGCTGGATTGAAATCAATATCAATGTGGCCTATACTAGGCTGCCACAAAACCTGTGTCATTGTGGCCTATAATAGATTGACACGAAATACGTTTCAGTGTGTCCAGTAGTAGGCTGGCGCGAAATCTATGTGAATGTGGCCTGTACTAGGCTGCCACAAAACCTGTCTCATTGTGGCCTGTAATAGATTATCACGAAACCCGTGCCATTGTGGCCTGTAATAGGTTGTCACGAAACCTGTGTCAATATGACTTGTAGTAGGTTGGCACGAAAACTGTATCATTGTGGCGTGTAATAGGCTGGCACGAAACCTGTGTCATTGCGGCCTGTACTAGGCCAGCAGGAAACCAGTGTACTGTGTAACACATTGGTACCAAACTTGTAGTTTTTCCGTGTGATCTGTAACAATTAACAGGAAACTCACTTACTATATATAGTTGTTGAATTGTTGATGATGATATTAGTTTTATTGTGAGTGACAGATTATCTGTCAGTTCTTTTGGTTACTTTGGATTTATTTCTAGTTTTTAGCAGCTTATTAGCTGAGTGCTAGATTAACATGAAAACCAGGCCCGGCATGGCCAGGTGGTTAGGGCGCTCGACTTGCAATTTGAGGGTCGCGGGTTCGAATCCCCGTCACACCAAACATGCTCGCCCTTTCAGCCGTGGGGGCGTTATAATGTGACGGTAAACTATTCGTTGGTAAAAGAGTAGCCCCAAGAGTTGGCGGTGGGTGGTGATGACTAGCTGCCTTCCCCCTAGTCTTACACTGCTAAATTAGGGACGGCTAGCGCAGATAGCCCTTGTTTAACTTTGCGCGAAATTAAAAAAACAAAACAAAAACATGAAAACCTATCTTGATTGTTTATGCATATTTTATTCACAAACTAATTAAAAACGTTGAAAATGTTTGGTAATGTATCCGATGTGATTATAGCAAAAATATTGTGTCTGTGACGCGGACTGAAAGAAAATTAATATATTTATGTTTGTTAATATATTTCTGTCAGAATGACAAGTGACTTTTCTGTTCTGTCTGTTAATGTGACTATTTTTTAGACTTATCGGAAACTTTTGTGTCTGTGTTAAACTGACAGTAAATTCGTGTTGAATTAGCTTAGGATATTCTGGGTAGTATTACCTGGCATGTCTCTGTGTTAAATTGATAAGATGTACATGTGGAATTAGCTTAGGGTATCCTGGGTAGCACATTACTTGGCATGTCTCTGTGTTAAATTGATAGGATATCCAGGGTAGCACATTACCTGGCATGTCTCTTTGTTAAATTGATAGAATATACGTGTTGAATTAGCCTAAGATATCCTGGATAGCACATTATATGGCGTGTCTCTGTGTTAAATTGATGGGATATACGTGTTGAATTAGCTATCTTAAGATATCCTGGGTAGCACATTATATGGCGTGCCTCTATGTTAAATTGATGGGATATACGTGTTGAATTAGCTATCTTAAGATATCCTGGGTAGCACATTACCTGGCATGTCTCTTGTTAAATTAATTGGATATACGTGTTTAATTATCCAAGGATATCCTGGGCAGCACATTATATGGCATGTCTCTGTGTTAAGCTTAGTATATATATGTATCTGTGTTAAAACGATAGGAAGTACGTGTTGAAAAAGCTCCCGGTCTCCTGGGTAGCATATTATTTTATTAACATGTTCCAATCCGACGAACTATAAATACCATATACAGTTATTACTATCCTTATATTAAGATATTAACTGGGAAAGCGAGCTATCTAACGCGTATAAAGGAGTAGTTTCAAACTCTGTCATATGCTTGCTGTATGAATATCATAAAACATGAATACGTTCTTATCAACGAGTAACAATATCCCAGGTTACTTCAATTAGTGTCTTATGTTTGTCAAACAGGGATTTGGGAGCAGAAGTAAATAGTAAACATTTATATAATTTCCTGTCTGGCCCGGTATGGCAATCTGAGGGTCACGGGTTCGAATCTCCGTCCCACCAAACATGCTCGTCCTTTCAGCCGTAAGGGCGTTATAATGTGACGGTCAATCCCACTATTAGTTGGTAAAAGAGTAGCCCAAGAGTTGGCGGTGGGTGGTGATGACTAGCTGCCTTCCCTCTAGTCTTACACTGCTAAATTAGGGACGGCTAGTGCAGATAGCCATGGTGTAGCTTTGCGCGAAATTCAAAAACAAACAAACAAACTTCCTATCTAGTTTGTGTGGTATAGAAAAATATAACTCTACTGGGGGCGTAGCATATAATTTCCGCAGTGGGGAATGTTTTTCCCCGAATTTTCCTATATGTTGTGTAGAGGAAAAGTTTTGAAAATAAAGGTTTAAAGTACAGTAGTTAAATTACTTAATTCGTGAAAAAATTCATTTTAATTGCCGTATTTTTTCGGAATATAAGACGTACCGGTGTATAAGACGCACCCTTATTTTGAAGACAAAGTTTTGGGGAAAACTTTACTATACTAACTTTACTGACTTCATGACTATAATTTATTTTTTTATTATTTAGGGAGCATTATAAATAGTTATGTTTTTGAAAGAAAAAAACTACTATTGTTATAAATAACACATTCAATTGAACTAAACTATGCACGCCTATTTAAATATATTTACACATGGCTTGTGTATATCGTGTATATATACATATATATTATTCATACCTTCGGTGTATAGGACGAAAGCAGATTTTGACATCAATTTTGGGGTAAAAAAGTGCGTCTTATACACCGAAAATACGGTATAAATGATTTGTATACTGATAGTGAGGTTTACAAGGTTTACGCTCAGTAATATGAATAGCCTTTAAATTTGATTGTATGAAAGGAAATCGGTTACAGGCGGATGAATATTAGGAGCTCAACGCATGGATTGTTATCATAATAATCCTTTAAGTAATTAAAGCATCTGGCCCAGAACGCCATAAAATAGTCTATGTATACAAAAAATTATCATCCGCAATAAAGTTATCACGTGGCACCATCTATTGGAGTTTAGGAAACATTAAGTTTTCATAATCAATTATTTTATTACAAGTTACAGTTTTACGGTAAGAAAGAACATTTTTAGAACGTTTGGATCACTGGTGTAATATTTCTCAAGTACTTTTAACGGTAAAGAAGGTTTTAGGACTTAAATGGAAATTCAACAATCTGGCATTGTATTTAAATTTTAGAATTGATTGTGGTGCATGTGCATATCAATCCGCGTGAACTGACAGATTATTTACTCATGGCTAAACATAAATATAAAAATGTAGAAATGTTGTGTGAAATATTTGCATAAGATTAGGAAAGTCTGGGGAAATAACGATCAAAGAGATATAGAGATGTGCTTGGGTATTTGTTAATTGTGGGATTGTTTGATTTCCGAGTCAGGTTCATGTTTTAGTACTGTGACATTCTGTTCAAATAAAATAGTGTTTCTTTTTGTTCATGTGTTCATGGACTTGGGAAATAACGATCAAAGAGATATAGAGATGT